CCGCGGCCTCCGCAGCAGCCAGGCGCCTCCGCCACCGCCTCGCGCACTTCCGGTTCCCGCCCGCCCGCCTGGCCGCCCGCGGGCGTGCCGGGAACTGCAGTCTTCCGGTGCCGTCGTACGTATGGGCTGGCGGCGCCTACAGGACTACAGTTACCGGCATGCACCGCGCGGGCCGCAACGTCTCTTCCGCCTTCTCCCTTTCCCGCCCCTCGCGCGACGGATGGGGCGGGGCAACGCCTCGCGTGGGGCGGGTGGGCGGTGCCTGTGGGGGCGAGGCCCGGGGGGGGGGGGGGGGAGGGTTGGGGTCCGCTCTGGGCTGCGGGGGGCACTGAGGCCCGGGGGGGGCGGGAGGTTTGGGGTCCATTCCGAGGCTCGGAGGGGGCACTGAGGCCCGGGGGGGGCGGGAGGTTGGGTCTGCTCCGAGGTTCCATCATGAGGTTTGGGGCGCACTGAGGCCCTGGGGGTGCAGGGGTCTGATCCCCCTGGGCAGGGGGCTCTGCAGGGGTCCCAAGCGGCCGTGGACCCCCCCGTGCCGCCCGCCATGGTGCTGTGCACCCCTTGCCCCCCGTGGTCCCCCTGCCCCCCATTCCGAGGCGCGGGCCGGGCCGGTGGTGCCGAGTGGTTTATTGGCGCGCGGAGCGGAGCGGAGCGGAGCGTGAGCGCGCGGGCCCGCGCCGCCCGCGCTATTTACACTATTCACATCCGCGGGGCCGCGCTTAAATAACTACGTGACGGCAGCACGCGGCCGGGGCGGCGCCGGCGGGCGGGCGCCGGCCGCGTAAGGTGCATATCAAAAAACAACGAAACGAAGTAAAATCCCAGGGCGAAATAAAACCCGAGGCGGGGAGCGGAGGCGGGTCCAGCGCGGGGCCGTCGCAGGGCGGCCGTCGTCATCCCGGTCCCGGCGCTCACAGCACCTCTGCGGGCGGCGTTGGCGTGAGGGCGGCGCTGGCGCCGTCGCGGCCCCCCTGTCGCGGCCCGCGGCGCTCACCCGTCACCTGCCGCGCCTCCACCACGGCCTTCTGCAGGAAGGGCTGGCTGCCGCCGAAGGGGCCGAGCGCGCCCAGCGCCGCCTCGCCGCTCTCGCGCGGGGCGCCCTGCACGCCGTTGAGCACGGGCGCCGCGGGGCTGCGCGTGGCCGTGAGTGCGGCCGCCGCGGCCGCCGCGGCCGCCGCTCCCTCCCACCACATCCCCGCGCTCACCTGGGCTCTGCGCCCGGCGCCTCCGCCGCGGGCGGCTCCTGGGCCTTGGCCAGCGGCGCCGCGCGCTCCCCGGGGCCTGCGGACGGCAGCGCGGCCGCGTCAGCCCCAGCGGCGCCCGGTCCTTGCACATGGGCATCCGCCCCATCCCTACCTGTGCTGTCCTCCTGCTCGGCGCCTTTCCCGTTCACCATGCTCTTGTCCTCCTTCTTCTGCGGCGGAGGGAGCCCCGGTGAGGGCCGGCCCGTCGGGGTCCCCACGCCCCCCGCGCGTCCACCCACCTTGGCGTCAGCCGCGTCCGCCTTGCGCGTCCTCCTCATGATCTCCTCGAGGCGCTGCGGGGCGCACGGGTTGGTGGGCGCACGGGGCCGGGGGGCAGCCGTGGCGGTGCCGCCAGGGCCCCGCGCCCCGCTCACCTTGCGCCGCTCCTGCCGCTCCTGCTCCTCGCGCTGGAAGTGCCGCTCCCGCTCCAGGCGCTGCCGCTCGGCCTCCTCGCGCGCCCTGGCCTCGGCCTCCTCCCTCTGCGCCGCAGTGTGAGCACGGCCAGGCGGGAGCCCCGCGGGCAGGGGCTGCCGGGGCCTCTGCACCCCGGGGCCCTCCGGGAGCCTCCTCCTTGCAGCCCCCTGCCCCTGCAGCCCCCTGCCCCTGCAGCCTCCCCTTCCCTCCCTGCCTTCCCTCTCCATCCCCACCTTCCGCTCCCTCCCCGTGTCCCGTGTCCCGGCGCCGCTGCCCCGTGGCGGCCCCACCTGTCTCTGGAGCCGCTCCTGCTGCTCACGCTCTGCCCGCTCCTTCTCGCGGGCCTCGCTCTCCTGGCGCTGCCGGGCCAGGGCGTCCGCGCGCGCCTGCTCCTCGGCCGCGCGCCGGGCCTCGTCGTCGCGCCGGGCCC